CGCAGTTATCTCAGGCTCTTGGAGTGTCAGAAGACCTGGTCCTCAGGCTTGGACTGCTTGTCTGGTCTCTTGAAGGGCAATTGGAAAGGAGAGTGTGAAGATTCTCAACCTCTGCCCACTCCAGAGATCTGGATCTGTGTACAAACAAGGAGCACTCAGGCATGTTCATTCAGTTGACCTAAGAGTTTCCTGGAGTTCAACTTCATTGCTTGACTCCATGTGGACGGCCATGATGCTAATGTGGCTTCCGCCATGTTCGAATTCAGTCTGTGCTGCTACTTGAAAGCCATGATGCAGGCGAGACGCATCCAGAGGACCCTCAATCTGCGGGCTGGGCATAGGTTTCATGCGGAGTGTCTCCATGCCTGATGCGAGCAAGAAATCCAACATAAAGATCAGGACATGATGTAGTCCTGTTGATATTGGCGCTACGAGGCAGTGATTCGCTGTAGTAGCTAGCTCCAGTACTGTGCCACGATACTGGTATCACCGGCCAGGATAGCAGCCAATACCCCGACCGCTAGCCGCTAGCAATGACAGCTCAGCAAGGGCAAAGATGCTAACGTATGCTAACAATGTCAGCTTTTGAGCACGCGCTCTGCAGAGACTCAAGCCCGGTAGGAAATGAAGCCAGCCGATGCCCTCAACCTCGGCCCTGAGTTCTGCCAAGCGCAGCATGAACCTGAGTGCAGGGTGGGAGGTTCAGGCGGGCTTGTTTTGTGCAGAAAGAGCACGTTTTTAGTCGTTTGCCCTTTATGTGCCAGCCCTGGTCCAGAACGCGAAGGCATGAGGTGTAACCACCCTTGGATCATTTCAGCTTGAGTGCTCAAATTTACGGTTTTATGAGAGTCGTGTTGCTGCTGCTGGCTTCTCCTCAAGCCCCCCCATTCCCACAACCCACAGCGCGACGCGACGATCCAAGCCTGCCATCACTGTGGAGCCCTAGAGACCGTGGAGCCGACACTCAGCAAAGAGCTTTGAGCCAGACGCAAAGCTGACAAGTGAGGTACCCCGAATCAAAGACCTTTACAGATAGTTACTGGTATGGCAGCCAGCCGACATGCTGAGAACAACAGTAGCCTGCATGTAGATTCCGCAAATGGGGGTCTTTCGCAGCGTCCAGCATGCCCCAGAAGCGGCAGCAACTCGGATTGCAAGCATAGTTACTGAGGAGAACCTCGCCCCATGCATTTGTTTTTGCTGGATGTTCAGGTTCATTGGAGGGTTGCCTTGTATTGTAATTACCTTACAACATCAGGAAAGAGCGCATGTGCAGCATCTACATAACATGAAGTTTGCTCACTCGCTGTGCCTTTCTATACCTTTGGACCGGCCTTTGGGAGTGTTCCAGGCGCCTTGGCAGCCTGTGGCCCACCGTTCTGGCCACACTGGTCCTTGGCAGAACGAAACAGTGTATAAACAGTGCAAACGTTGACACCGGCATTTATCGTTTGCCATCTTCACATTCAGAAGGCTTGGAGGTGGTGGATTCGCAAGTTTCAGCTGGAAGGGCATCATGTGGCATCATGTTCAGGGGCATTTACGCGGCATAGTGCGGAACAGCATGGACAAGCCACATTCGCAGATGAGCGGGTGTCAAGTCCTGACAGTCTGGTGCATCTGTACAAGACAGAGATTCCATGCGCGACGCGTCCTTCTGACATCGCAGTAGGTTTCCGAACACTTCATTCTGGAGTTAGCCCGTGCTTGGCAGGTGCTAAACTTTCTCTCGTCCCGTTCGCAGACGTTGTCTCTCGATGAAATTGGCGCTGCAAGATTTGTTGGTATTCGTTTACGTTGGCTTAGAGAGTGTACTACTTGTATCATGTGGAATGGATTGAATGGCCACGGTTCAAGTCAGCTTGTTGCACAGCCCTGCAATCCAGAAAGTCATTCTTGGCTGTAGCAGGGCCAGAGTGCACAATGTCCTTGTTGATCCTTGGCAATAATAAACAGACTCCGTCCTGGAAAACTTGATTCCGGGAGTAATCTGAAGACTGCCGGGCAGTAGCCTCAGAAGCCAGATATACCCGTGCATATGGATGCCATACTGAACCCGTTCCTCCTGTAGCAAGATTAAGGGCGGCATTCGATGGCATTCGGGTTTGCAAGGGAGTACAAAAACTCATGCCCCTGCAAGGGCTGGCGGAAGAACAAGCAGTTCCCAACGCATGTTGGTTTTGTCTATATACACTTTTGGAATGCGTTGAAATGCCCACACGCGCCAGACGGCGCAAGGGCGGGCGCAAGGCAACCGCAACGGTGGGGTACTGGTACCAGAATTCAGAACAGCATCCATATATGTATAGAGATTTAAATTTAGGAGCCTACGTAGATGCAATGGTGCAAAAGCCGGATCTCAATGCCGAATAAAGGTCATAAAGACTTTACCTACGCCCCCACAAGCTTCTTAATTGCCACAAACTGGGCCGTTTCCAAAAGATTTGCCTTGTGAGAGGTCTGCCCACCTGCGGAGTGACTTCTACGAGCAAGAACTTTTAAGATAATGAAGCCGTCATAAACCGCCACTCCATTCTTAGATGGGCCTGCAGCAGCTGGTGTTCGTGACATGAGCCCTGAAGCTCCTCTCGCTTGTACCGTAGCCTAGACTACTGCCGACTCTTTTTCCCACTTCACTGAAAGCATACCCCCTCTGCCTTCAGTGGGGTGTGCGCTACTCGGCTGGTTGACTTTGGTTTGTTTTCGTGAGATGGGCCTGCACCAAAGTCCCATGGCGTTCCTGGGGAGTGGTGGTTGTGGTTATGTCTTCTTCAGCTGATGTTGGAGTCTCGTCTCTGGCAAACCCCTATTGATGTTGGGCTGCTGTTAACTAAGCCTTGCCACAGATGATGTCGGAGGTTTCCTTTCGAGAGGACATCTTTATGGGGCGGCATAAACGCACGTCCGTGCATCTGTTTTTTGATCCAGGAGCTGGATTTGGGCTCCAGTGGTAGGAATGTTAGTGAGTCGTGATTACGATTCTATTCAGCAAACGTGGGTTGCAAAGAATGGAAAGCTATTTTTGTAGGGAGCTCCCGTCCTCGGGTTGCGGAGGTTTACCCCTCGGCAAGACTGCGGCAAGACAAATCACAAGAGCGGAGTCCTTAACCCGTCGGAACCATAGAATTTCCACACGGTTTTCAAACAGGATGTGGAGTCTCAACAAGCACAGAATTGGACAACCTGCCGATTATGCAGTCCACGGTCAGTAACATTCTGACTGCTCCAAGCAGGCTCCGGGCAGAAGTTTCCTGACACGACTTGCATCTTTTTGAATGTTTGTCCTGTGGCCAAACCAGGGACAGGGGTTCGGTAGCGGCAGAAGCGCAGTGGCCCTATCATGGAAGACACAGCAGCGGACGACATAAACGTCTCAGTCCCAGAGATGAACTGATGTTTCTGATGTTTCTCAGGTTGGCCCCGCAAGGAACGCAGCGACTACGCCGACCAGCAAGGCTTGGAAGCTGTGAGACGCTGTGAGACTTCTTAGCTTTTCTATGCTTTTTATGCTGCAGTGATCGAGTATACATCCTTCTGATGGTCAACCTGCCCTGCATTCGCTATTTGGGGGCGCTTGCCACGTTGCGCCACCATCACTACTAACTCCTCCAACGCGATTTGGATCACCACACCTGCGCCGTACAGGGGATTCGACCGAGCAGGCGTAAACGCATTTAGGCAGGGTGTGAGCACGGAGCCCGCGCTTTGCAGAATCAAGCTTGTTTTGGACCACACTACGAACGTGCGGAATGAAAAGTGGGGTAATCCCACAAAATCTCCAGTGACCCAAGTACTCACCACACATGTACGCAGCCTCGCTTGGTTCAGCAAATTTTCACTGGAAACTACAACTTTGATGGAAAATTGCTAGCGAGCATCATGTAACATTTGGCACTGGATTTGACCTGTGCCTACCGCCTCCGCCTAGCAATCACAGAGCTTCATGATTTATAACGTTTTTTTACACATACGTGTAACAAATGTCATAAATCATAAGCTACGAATTCACAACCTCGAGCCAAGCCGCATCAAATCGAGTCCTTCTCTGCTCCTGACATTTGGGAAGTTTGGGCTGGCCTTGCTCGTTGCATCTCGTTGCAAGAGGAGGGCCAAATCTTGCTCTAGGTTGGGACCGCTCTGTTCAGAATTTGCGTGTGCGTAATAGAGAAATCCTCCAAAGACCTTGTAGAGCAACGAGGCAGGGGAACCCGTCAGTCAGGTGACGGACCTCAGCTTGCCACGCGCACCTAGGGAGTGTGCATGCCTTGTGGTCTATCATTCGCAGGGTTGCCATTTGGTCTGCAGACTGCACTATCTGCTCGGTGACGGCTTGAGCTTAATCGAGCTTGCGCTGGGCATATTGTGCCATATGGAAGCATGCGAGAAGTGCCGAACTTCCTTGATTTGCCACGCTAGTACGCCTCACCAACCACCAATGCTTCTTGCAAGGAGATGTCTATATACCCGAAGGCCATAAGTAGACCATGAAATGCCATGAAGCACAAGCCATTGCTGCCATGGCGCCCTGCCTGACTGTCCAAGTCTTTGACTTCTGATGGCTTCATTTTGCTTCTTGCTAGCTTCAGTGTTGGAACCGGCGCTAGCTGCAGATGCGCTTGCTGACAGATTGCAGATAACAACCGATGCGCAGTTTCCGCCCTTCGATCTCACTGGGCGAGACTCAAGCCTGCTTTTCCAAGACGGCAGCCAATCACGTTGAAAGCATTTGCCTTGTTTTGCAACATTTATCGAAAACAGAAGACAAAACTGAACAACTCTTAGCCTTTGGATGGAAGCAACTAAGGTAAGGCAGGAGAAGGGTTTGAACCCATGGCCTTGATCTAGCAAAGGCTGTTGTTTGTTTGTGTTTATCCCTGATGTGAAGGATGGCCTTCAGGCTCCTCTGGTTATGCTACTGGAGGATGCACACAGATGAAGATTTCAGTTTGTCAGCCTAGGAATGCTCTTCCTCGGCTCCCGGGGCCAAAGATTTGCCCAGCATGGATTTCCGAAGGTTGGAGCTCTCTCTGGTTGCCGCATCCGCCGCGTCGTCAATGTGGACGAAGCTTAGCTTTGCAGAGCTTGAAGCTGTTTCACCTCTTTTACTGTTGAATTATTTGCTTCCCCTCTTCATTTTCGGTTGCATCAACGAAAACCCCTTGCACGTTTGACCGAGAAGTTCTTCATGACGGTCCTCTATCCATACTCCGTGCCCCTGTTTAAAAACAAATGCTTAGCTGCCTTTCAGGGCAAACATGGCTCGTCGAAGAACGCAGCAGGTGCATCACGTTTTGCTTCCCAGCACATTTGGACAAGTAAGGAATTTATTGGGTCAGGCTGACGCTAGTGACCAGCAGCAGTCAGACACCCTTTGGCTGACAAAGGCTCGCGTTTCAACCCCTGGGCGAGACCTGCCTATTCCGCGACTTTCCGCAGCCTTGGACACTAGCAGAGTTTGGCAAGTCTTTGCCAGTAATATACCCATCCATCCATGATCCAGCCACCCCCGACAATTGCAGTTTTGCTTGGCCCCGTCTGAAAATACAGTGGTTGCATAAGGACACACAGCTGGAAGAGGATGGCCCAATTCAAGTCGCTGAGCAGGCGCATTTCCGGAGCGAGTTGACCGCGTTCTGGTCTGCATAGCATTTCTTTTATTGCTACCAGAATATCTGGGCTAAAAAACTGCAAGTGTTTAATCAAGGAGAGGTGCCTGAGAAGTCTGCACCGTACTGTCCGAGGTTGTCTACGACTGCTGGCAGCCAGGGGAGGCACGTGTAGAGCTCTACCTGACATTGGCGGCTGACCTGGAAGGCAACCGGAGTCAAGAGATATGCGTCTCTGGCACCTTTTAGCTTGCTTTGTGATGACTGGTGATTGGTGATGGTTTCTGCGTGGTCTGCTCTAGTGTCCATGACCTGCCTTTTTAGCCAGAAACTGCTTTCCGAGGTATGACCTGGACCAAGATCTGCCGCTTAGGCTTTGAAGGGCTCGTCATTCGCCACGGGGAGTACAGCGAGTGGCTCATTTATCCAGCCCCAAACAACAGCCACCGGGGTGCATTGAATACAATACGTCTCGCCAATGTTTATAAAGTTTCAAGTGACGTCATGAACCGCTGGTTTACAGTAGCCGCAAGAACAGCTCAGGCCAGACAGTGACACCACCGCTTCTCGACACAGATGGAACTGCCGAGGATGTCACCAAGCTGCAGCTTTCCTCCCCAGAAGGAACCATGCGATTGCAGCTGCCCACGGTCAGCAGCTCTGATGACAAGCTCTTGAAAGTAGACATTCGGGGCGTCGCCGTGACAATGAATCAAGGCGAGCAGTTCCTGGAAGTAAGCAGCGAGCCTACTGAAATTTCGGTCATCTACACTTGCCAGGGAGCTGGCGTGGCAGATGTGGAGTTGGGATTATGGCATGCCGTGATCACATCAGCTCATGCTGCAGAAGGTTTTCATCTGCACTGGCGTAAGCAGTGTGGTGAGGCTGTCTATAAGTCATTCGGGCCAAATCTATCTAAGCATGTTTTAAATGAAGTCGTGAATGGTGGTGTCTTTTGTGTTCTGCGGCAGTCAGGACTTCCTGCGTTTCAAAAACAGCCCAGGTTCATGGACATCTTTCTTAAAAGCGACCTGAACATGACCAAAGTACAGGCTGTCTCACATGGGCGCGCGCTGCCAGGTTTCGAGCCTCGCTGCCGAAACCAGAGCAAGAGCAGCCACCCTGCCGTGGATGGGGTCAGCCCCAAGGTGCCATCTCCCGCATGCGGCCATCAGCAATCCGCGCTTGAGGTCTCCGTGACTTACAGGACTCATTCAGAATCCTTTTTTTCATGCGACTGTTCTACTTCATAGCGCTCCTAATGCGGATTCCGCGGTGTCTTGCAGCAGCGAGGCAAAAGAAAGTAAAACCTCCATCGAGTTGCGCGTGGATCCAGAGGGCTTGGTCCTGCCTCCAGCATTACAACACCAGCCAGACACTTGATCCTGAAAGTCCACGTGTGGCTTGTTCAGTTTGTTTCAGAAGTATTTTTGTTTACTAAGTGCGCTTTTGGTGCACAGAAAGAAGGACATGTCGTTTGACCAGCGGATCGTGAAAGCTTTTGTGGGAAGGATGCCGGAGGCCTTCTCGCGCACTGGCCGGGGTAAGGTTCCGTGCACGAATTGCGGCGCTGACTCCTCGCTCCGTGGTGCCACGCCAAAGGCAGCATCGCAGAGCATGGTCGTAAAATATATTTGCCATAAGCAGGGTGTCAGCCCCATCATGGTGACTGTCTACCTGGAGGGGTACAAGCCTATCGACTTCTCCTGGCAGAAGCGCTGTCAGGAGCCAAAGAAGCCACGAGTTGGGAAGGCACTGACAGCACCCCAGGCCATGACCATGGCCTTCTTGGCTTCCTGCACGTAGATAATTCAGCTGTTTCCCTTTTGTTGCTTTCCCGTTAGCATGAACTATTCGAAAGCCGCGTATGTATTGGTGGCCATATTTTGCCATTTCGGGGTCGCTGCTTTTCCTGGCCAAGGTCTGTGGAGTCATTGGCCTCATCGTGTGCATGGTTTGCCTCTTCTGCAGCACAGACTCCAAGGAGAAGGACAAGCTTTTCCTCGGCAAAGGACGGGCTAAAATGCTGCAACAGCAGCTACAAAGGTCTTTGGGGTTGTGTTTGCTGGGGCCAGAGTGTGGATGGAACTCTTCAGAGTGTCCCCGACCCCTTGCATTGAGGACCCAGCAGGAGAAGCCGGAACATTGAGTTCAGTCGCTTGGGTCCCGATTCAGAAAGAGTTGGCGCTGGCTCAGACGATGAGGTGGTCTTCCACTGACAGCGCGAGGTGAGTATGAATGTGCTCAGTATGTGACAGCCTACCGTGCTCTCAACAGCTTTCCACAGACAAAGCATGGCTGACAATCTAAATCTAGCATGGCTCGCGGGGCCCGATGGGGCCCGCAACCCACCTGCCAAGTCAGCACCCGTGTCGGGCCCAGGGATGTTTATAGCGAGGGACAGAGTGTCGGGCCGTCAAGAAGTAGCAAGAAGATGCTTAGTTTAGAGTGTGCTACGCTGCTACCCCCAGAAGATGGAGCAGTTTCATGCCTAGCCACCTGGAACAGGCCTTCCTGAAGAACCTATAAGAACCTCTAGCCCCAGCTTATTCCATTTACTGGGCAATCTTCATGACGACGTCTTGAGCCAGTGACGCAGGCACGCGCCCTGGTGGAATGATCTATGCGCTGGATGCCTAGCACGTAGGCAACGCAACGAAGAAAGAGGCATTTCTGAGCAATTCATGTTTTGGGCGTCTTGAAAAATCGTAGAAGCCTAGCCAGCCTCCAGATCATGGAGATCAAGCCACCCAGCAGCACAAGCACCGATGCTATCCCACAAAGGCCCTGGATGCGGCCGCTGTGGAAGGCGAAGTAGCTAAGGCTGAGGCTGCGCTGACGCAAGTGGTTAGGGAGTCAGCCATTGGTTGTTTCGTCTGAGAGTTTTCTGATTCTCCGACGTACGGATAGTGGTGACTGGCTTTCATTACCAGGCGAAACCAGGATCCAAGCCTTTTGTCGGAAAGCTGGGTGAACCCATCCGGGAGGGAACGCGAGGCCAGAGCACTGGTCGCTCCTGTTCGCTTTGCATTACCGCTTTTACTGTCACAAGGTGCATGCACCCAAGGGTTCATCTGCAGTTTTTGGAGGGAATCCCGCCCCTTGTGCATTCTTGAGGCTTTGTATGCAAAGCTCGAAAGTTTTCAGGCGACTTGGCTGAGATTGTTTGGTGACTGTGAAGTGAGGGGGTTTGAGGCTGTAGCCCACCAGCTAGGCAAGAAGAAATGAGGGACCGTGAAGTTCAGCTCACGTTCCACACGCACCTGACGAAGCAATGCGAAGCCATTCGGAGGTGGCGGGATTCACGCGTCGAATGTTTGTGGCGGCCTGAGTTGCACTGAACAATGCTCATAGAGCCCGGATGACTGGAAAGAAAGGCTTTGAGATCAAAAATAATCACGACGAGGATTTGATTGTAGTGTCGCTGTGAGAGAGAGAGAGAGAGAGAGAGCAAAAGCTGATGACAGCAAAATTGAGAGTAAAGGTGCCCCTCCAAGCTAGAAGCAAATCCTGCATTCTTGGGTTTTGGAGTCTATAGCTCTGAGGCTTGGGATGACCAGCTGCGCTGACGCTAGAGTGTAAAGGACTGCGGCGTCAACAGATGCAGCCATTTTCGCTAGGCTGCCTCGTCGTGTATCATATGATCGTTGCAACCCGCCGGATGGTGATTGCCACTTTCGTCTGGGTCAGTCCCCAAGCGCCGAAGATGCCAACAGAACAGTCCGCACACCACGGCGCGCCTCGATTGCAAGTCTACTCTCTTGCCAAGTGCTGAGGTGAATTGTGTCATCAAGGCCTGCGCGAAAGCAGGGGATCTAGAGACCGCAGAGCAGTGGTTTGCAAGGCTGGGCCTGCAGTCCGGACATCCGCTGTGGCACGGAACTGATTGAACATGTGACTCTCGCATCTCGCGCCAGCCGCAACACGTATTCCGCATTGTTGGTTTGCGTGGCCTCGTTTGTTGTACTAGCTGTTCAAGCAAGCTCGGCCAGTTGAATTGCTTGGGCAGGCTAGAAGCCTTGGGGCTCTCTCCCAACTGCAAAGGTGCTTGGACAGATACATTCCGGCTTCTGAACGCTCAAGGTTGTGAAGATGTATTCTATGAGGGTACAGGATTTGAGCATGCCCCGGATGGTGATGGTTACTGTGAGGTCGCCCTTGGGCGTAAGGGCAAAATGCTGTTGTCACCAGTTCGGCTTCTTGCATGTGCCATGAAAGAAAGTCGTACGCTTGTAGTTTGTGATAGCGGGCTTGGGCACAGGAGCAGCGTGGATATCATGGTCACGGCCACTATCACCCTATTCCGCAACCCAGAATCAAACACACAATGTCTGGCTGAGGCGTTGGCAAGCTTGCCCCATGGCCGCAATCAAGCCTAGCGCTGCAGGGAAATGTGATCCCACATTGTTGTCTTGCCATGCAGGCGATGCGGGTGGATGTATTTTGAAGCCTGCAGAAGTGGTAGATGGCTGCGGAGCATGGCTTTGGGAGTTCGTTCTGGGTAAAATGCCCAAGTCCCTGACGTAAGTACAGTTACCATAAGCCAATCACAGGAGTACAGTTGAAGGCATTTCATCTTGTTTCGGGAGCTGGCTCCTAGCATTTGCTTGGATGTAGACATTTTACAGTCCTAGACTGACAGGGTCCGCGCATGTCAAGGAGCGGTATGGTCTTGCAAGCTAAGCGTCACTTGTTCCTTGTTTGTGGCCAAACCCCGCAGTCAGGATCAGAAGCGTTTTTTTCCACTCCAGGCAAATACAAATCGAAGTTCGCACACATAACTGGACTGCTGCGGTTGTGAATGTTCACACCCGAGCGTTTCAACGCCCAAGTAGCCAGGATGAGCAGCTGAATTCAGCGGTAGCGCGAAATCCAGGTTGGAAGAAAAAAGCAAGCTTAGCACTCCCCAATCCCACACTGCGAGCCCCGTCAAAGGGAAGAACGCTCTTTTCGCTGAAGGCTGAGGCAGCTGCAAAAGCCGGCAACTACGAGCGGCACCTCGGTTTGTCAAAGATCTTATCCGGAAGAGGGCACTGTAGTTACATGTAGTTACTGTAGCTTGCCTGTGTGGAGTCGGAGTGGCTGGTGCCAACCCCCTTGATCCTCGAGCTATCCAGCCAACCCCCACCACCAGCCAAGGCATTGTAAACCATGTTGTTGTTCCGTCAATTTGTTTGTCCATTGGTCCCAGCATCTTCGACAAATTCGACTGTTGTATGCTTGTAAAAGCCTAATTTCCGGAAGGCCGGTGTCAAATTTGGAAAGCAGATCTTGCGCACTTTGGCAGAAGTTTTGCAGTTCTTCATCCAGCGCCGTTCAAGCAACAGGGGGCGCACTTTGTTTTGGGGGTCCGTTTGGACAGCTAGTCTGCAGGTGCAAGAACAGAGCAAGAGCTGGGCTGAGGTGTCTCCACTGGTCGAAGGACTACTGCAACCGCCAACAGCATATTGTCGGATAACCATCCCCGATGGTAGAGTGTGTTTGTGGTTTGAAGCTGCGCAGGGATCAGGGACTTCCCAAGTTGCAGTGGCTGTAGTTGCGGGCCATGGGCAGACGTCCGCCCAGAGATTGCCAACAAGATCTAGTATCAGAATACAGGTAACGCATGTTCCTTTGCCGGCTTTGGATGCCGCTATGTGATCCAGCGAAGACCCCGCAAAAAATGGTGACTCCTCACCCGGGCACCAAGGACCATGAAGTGCAAGTTAAAGCAGCCTTTTGAGGGATGACGCTCCTCCGCTTGCTCGAGAGGAGTGCAAGAGACTCTGTGCTGGCAATACGTTGCTCGCCTGAACCAAGACAGATACAAAGGTTCCAGTCCAGAGCCCTGCAGCTTTTTGGTCCCCATGGAGCCATCCATCTCAGCCTTACTGGCACAAGCCACAAGACGCTACTCTCAAAGTTTTCAGAGTCTCCAAACGATCATTCATGGCTTCTTTGCTTTGCCCTCGCCCCACCCCAACTCTAGTCACAGTTTCAAATTAATAGCATGCCGAGCGACTGCGTACGTAGAATTTTTGAGGCTCATACCTGCAAGAACGCGAGTTGCCGCGGAATCTACCCCACTTAGTTATATCTGACATCAGAATGGTTCTTGCTCCATGGCATTTGGAGAGTCAAGGGAGCATCTTGTGCCGTCCTGCAAAGTGCCCCGACCAGTCACCCTGCGTGAATTGCAAGGGAGTGTGCCTTGCGGTGGCTCTCGTTTACTGATTGGTCAGTGTAAGTCTGGCTTCGGGTCACTTTTCTTGGTGTCTAAAAAAGGCTAATCACATGTTACTGTAAGATCTGCTGATCGGGGGGCCCCCCTTTTGAAAATGATTCCGTCAATAGCAAGCCACCCCTCCCGTCCCCTGCTCCTCCCCAGAAAACGGCACCCTTCCCCCATGTTGGTCCTTAAGCAAGGCTTGCTGTTGCCCCGCACCTCAGCCCTGCATCTGCATGGCTCCTTTAGCTTTCATGGCCATCTTCTTAAGCTCAAAGACTAAGACAACCTGCTCAGAGGTGGATAAGAGTTGCTCTCGATGCTGCAGCGAAGAGCGGGCGGGAAGATGTGGTGGATGGTAGGCTACTCAGTGAATCCAGGTAGAAGTTTCAGTTGTGCCGGCAGCCTGATCTGTCCGTGCCTCAAAAAAGTGACTCTAGGTACATCATTGATTCATTGATTACTACACCAAAACGTGCCCTTGTACGTTGGCCCTGAACTCATACTAGAACAATTTCAAGATGCCTCCTCGCAAGTGCAACCCTATGGACATGTTCATGTACTGCATTTCGCTCATTGCAGCTTGCACAGAGAGAATGCAGTTTAAGATTAAGAGCAGCGCTACCATGTCGAGTTAGTTGCTTCAACATGACTGAGTTGTCGAGCTTTATGGTTGACTTTACCAGCAGGCTTCAGAACGCAAGCAAGGAACAGCAGGAGTTCCGTTCCAGACGGGAGGTTAGATTTCCTACAGCCTTGTAGGTCCTACCACAGTTGGGCAGGAGTCCATAGTTTTTCTTTAACGGAGCATGCACCACTGCACAGGCCGTCAAGCAGTCACCTTTTGTGTCGACTCGTATTGACAGTGTCGCTCTGCCCAACAATTCGTCCCAATTCATGGCGTCGTGCGTGCTGTAAGCGTCGACCTGTAGACATGGCTGTCTCGCTCATGAGCCCAAGAGCCTCGAGGAGCCCTTCAAGAATCCCAGGAAGGTTTGGGATAAACAAGAATCG